TACCATAAAGTAACGAAATGGTCCACATGGTGGGTGTATTGGCCCACATATATCTCCATGTATTCTTTTCAAGAAAGTTGGAGATTCAATATTGACCTTTGTAGTTGAAGGTCTAATGACTAACTTGCCTTGCGAACAAGCTACACATGGATAATCATTAGATAAAAGAATCTTCTGGTTATTTAAAGGATGTCCATGTGAGTTGTTTATTATTCGACGCATCATTATGGATCCTGGATGTTCAAGTCGATCATGCCAAAGTATAAAACTTTTTGAATCAACGGACTTCTGGTTCGTAACATTATTTGATTCGACCATTTTTATAAATGTAAAATACATGCCAGACGGGAGTGCATGAAAATTTTCTTTTATCTGCTTCTTGCCAGATACAAAAGAAGTGATGCAAAGATATTCAACATTATTTTCTTGTATCGTCTCAATGTGATATTCATTGCAGCGAATATCTTTAAAACTAAGCAAATTTCTTCTGGATTTGCTAAAATAAAGTGCATCGTCAATATATAATTTTGTATTATTTGGTAAAATAATACAAGCTCTTCCGGAGCCTTCAACGATATTCGACGCACCCGATATCGTGTTAACATTATTTTCAACTAATATTAAGTCCAAAAAGTATTTTTTGTCTTGAAGAATAGTATGTATAGTTGCACTATTAATTAAGCAGCTGTCTTGACTATCTATCATGAATCTATAAATATAACAAAATAAACAAAATTTAAAAAAAAACTTGAATTTAGATTTAAAGAAATACTAGTAAATTAATCTATATCTTCTATCACACCACCCCCAACCAAATGGTCAATATTTTCATTTGGATCAGTAAAAAAATCGGAGACGTCCAAATGAGTCACATCAATTGGACCATCATAATCAGCAAAATTAGTCTCCAATTTTTCTTTTCCCTTGATTGATCTCCAGTAGAGATCCATAAGATGTTTTGAGGTACGACACGTACGTGCCCAATGCCCTTTCATTCCACATCTGAAGCAACTTTCTTCATGCTTCTTTTTAGATTTGCCACTCTCATTTGCTTTGTGCCTTTTGAATTTATTGTCTTGTTGTAGATAACTTTGTTGATTATTTCTTCTATGATTTATTCCACATACACGTCCGTGCCCGTGTCCACGTCCACGTCCGCGTCTGCGTCCACGTTCTTGTCTTGATATTGTATTTACTTCAGACAATATAGTACCATTTGCTTCAGGCAATGGTATAGAACCAGTTGGACGTAATCCATGATTTTTCATCAACAATTCATTATTTTGTTCAACAACTAGTAGGTAAGATATAAGTTCTGAGTACTTTTTGAAGCCACGCTCACGATATTGCTGTTGCAGGAGCACATTCGAGGCATGAAAGGTGGAGAAAGTTTTTTCCAGCATATCTTCATCGGTGATTTTTTTCTCCACACAAAGTCAACTTTGAACATATTCTGAACAATTCAGAATTGTACTCACTAACCGTTTTAAAGTCTTGTAAACGAAAGTGCATCCACTCATAACGGGTTTTGGGGAGGTCTATAGTCCTCTGATGATCAAATCTTTCAGTTAACTTTTTTCAAAGAACTTGTGGATCTTTCTCAGTGAGATATTCAATTTTTAATCCATCGTGAAGATGGTGACGGAGGAAAATGAGTGCTTTTACACGATCTTGCAGGAATTCATTGTTTCCTTCTTTTATTGTCTCTCCCAGACCTTTTGAGATGAGATGGATATCAGCATCCAGTATCCATAACAGATAATTTTTACCAGATATGTCAAGTGCAGCAAACTCAAATTTCGTAATGTTTGTCATTTTAACTACACAATAAAAAAATACAATTAGTTTCGAAGAATATGATTAATCATCACATGTTAATCAAATAATCAATATCAACATGACTTTAAGTTACGTGTTTTCCTCTAGGGATAAACACTAACTTGAAATAATATGTTCTTCGAAACATATGCTACCTCTGGAACACATTATATTTTGCTATTATTTCTTCAAGTGCAATATATCAATATTCTTCTGGAATGTTGAGAGTTATAAATTATGTTCTTTAGGAGCAAATAATATTCTTATAATGTTGTGCTACTTCTGGAGCAACAACGAATAGATCTATGATTAATATTCTTTTGGATTATTACTTATAATGTTGTGCTACTTCAGGAGCAACAACAATTAAAAATAAATTTAATGTAATGTTTCATAACTAAACATAAAAAAATGATAATACATCCAATTGCTCACCATTAATTAATATACAAACACGTATAAAATATTATTTTGAATTAATAACGTGAGTCGAGTGAAACACAAAAAAATAAAAATAAAAAATTGGTGACCTGTAGAAACCTATTCACATATTTTGGCACGAAATTCTAATTATGTGCAATTAAAAGAATTGAATTAGTATTAACCAATTAAGGCATGAAATTTGCAGAAACCAATGGATTGAGAGAAAGAGATGAGTTGGGTACAGTTATTTGTTAATTGAATATTTTATATATATGTGGAATCAGCTAAAATAGAGATCTGGAATTGAAACTTGCTTACAAAGAACGTTGACCAATTAAACCAAAAAATATATATATATAAGCATGTGTAGAACGTAAATGACTAATCTAAATATAAGGAGGGTATAGGAATATGAATTAATGCATATCAATTGATTTAACATAAATATATCTCCATAAAAATGCACGTAGATTGATGTAAAGGAAAAAAACATTAATTAATTCAAAGAGAGGTACAAAGAAAACATAATGATCGAGAAAGATGATATCACGTATTGCAGATTCAACATATGTATATGTAAAATTCACGTATTATCAAATTAATTTTGATATACGTGATAGATGATTATGAAAAAAAATTACTCACTTTTAAGAGTTTCGTGCTGATAATGTGTTATAAAATGAGAGGAAAAGAAAATAGAGAAAACTCAATAAACTTTTTGTATATATTATTGAAAACCAAAGCCCTATATTTATAGGTAAGAATCAGGAATACAATAGTAATAATTTCTAGGGGTACAAATGTCATTCACCAATAAACTTTAATGGACTTTCCATTTACAACATGGACAAGTATAATATATTTTAGATTAAAAATTAAATTAATCAAATACATTTAATCGATAATTTTCATGTAAATAAGTTCAATGTAATTATTTTCTTTTCATGCAAATTTCATGCTTCCAATTAAACATACCTTTAGTATAATCCATGTTAAATGATTCTGTAAATCATGATGTACAATTTATATTATTCTTTTATATAAGTTCTTCGTTTGGTAATATAAGGTGCATGTTTGACACCCATTAATTTATTACCACAAAAATAGAGCATTTTCAAGAGACTTGCTATTTTTCAAGAGCATATTTTATCATTTAGAGAACATTTATAAATTTAGAGAATTAATATTTTGAAGTATTCCAATAAACTTTTTATATTTAACACTTAATTTTACTATTCCAAAAAAAATTTATTACTTTTCTTTCTCTGTTATTTTAACTAGATTTTCTTTAAATTATTTTATTATTTTTCTATATTGAAAATTGGAATATTTTAAATGCATTTAATTATAGAGTGTGAGTTGGAGAGCCAAATCCACTTTTAAAAAATGAAAAATATTAATTTAAAAAGTTTCTTGAAGCATAATTTTAAAATTTGACTCTTTAAAATAACGAGTATTTTATGCTTATAGAGTCTCTTGGATATGCTCTTACACAATAAAATATTTTACACGCATATCAAAAAAATTTCTTTATTCTTTAACCACACATTCTTCTAAAATATACCATTCAAAACTCTTTTTTCTAAATAATGGTTGTCAAACAGGCTCAAACATTTGTCAAAAGTCTTTCTTAGTGTGCGAGATGTCCCACGTTCAATTCTCGACATGCCCCTTTGTTTTTATACATTTGAGGCTTCTAATTGCCACTTATGAGTTATTACACTGCCATTCTCGGAATGCAATGCCTTTTTGCACCATGTGCATGAGTGGCGGAAGCAAACATTTTGAATTAGTAGGGTACAATCGAACTTGCAAAGAATACAAATTTACGTTTATCTCGAATATCGCCAACTTTGTCATCCTTTTAATCTACAACATCATTTCACATTTATCTCTAATTTTCATTTTGTTAATATGGTGATCATCAAAAGAAAATGCATATATATGTTTAACTTATTTTTTTCATCACAATCAATTCAAGTAAAAAAATACAAAAATCACAGCAATTCTAATTGTTACATTATCAATTACATTCCAATCCAAATAAAGACAAAAATCATAGCAAAAATTCATTACCATAAAATCGCCAAAACAAGATAAAAGTTGAAGCACTTAAATGGATCCCCAATTCCATTCATAAGAAAATACAAAAGAAATCATCAAAAAGAAATAATTTTCCAAAGAATTAGCTTTTCGTTAATGAATCTTTCCCGTTCTTTAAAAAAATTAAAACTTCATTCAAAACTTTCAAATTTTATAAATGAAATGGAAACTAAACTACCATCAAATAGACTAAATAAAAATTGCGAAAAAAAGAAAATTCAATATATTGACACATCAATCTTACAAAAAAAATAAAAATAAAAAATAAGGAAGAAGAAGAAGAAGAAGGGAAAAAACTGAATTTTAAGTTGGTGGGTCACGTGCCCACCAGGACGCACTGTGGATCTGCCACCATGCACATGTTAGATTTAAATTACGCCATTGCAAAGTCCGACTCAACATGAGGTTCACAACAGAACTTGTCATCTTGATCGTTGAAACTCTCTAACGGCACAAAAATCATCAAAGAACATAGAATAATCTTAAAGTCTCCACGACCAAACCAAAAACCCTGAGGTGCAAATCCTGGTCGGGCAGCCCAATAGGAGGATTGCCTAGTGTACAAGTGCCCCATTTTTGCTTCCCCAAATATGTCTTGTACTCACACTATCTTGAATCATCATATCTAAAAATTAAACGTGCTTTTAACAGTTCCGTAGTTTACTCTAGAAATAACTCAAAATAATCACCCTTTTTTCATGATGAACATGTTTAATTATTCAGTCTGATTTCAAACTTAAAAACCAATACACTCCACCAATTCCGGTTCGCAATATCTATGATTCTTCAAATAATAAAATTGGCAATTCTTGCCAAGAACAATTCTAATAAGCCTAAAAACACTACGCTGATCGAACTACAGAAACTATTTCCATTTTTTGGGCAATGGCTCCCCTTGCAAAAATGATCTGAGAAGTTGAAAGGCAGCTCTAGGCTTGAAAAGAGGGACCTCGTGACCCGCACCTCGAACCGTTGCGAAAGTTAGCCCTTTATATACTTCTGTCCAGCCTGCCACCTAGCAAAATAAAACATTAATTGTTTCAACAATGTTTTTTTCCTTAAAAACTTTTCTCTTGTTAAAAACATTATTAGTCATGTAATTAGAGTACTAACCTGTTTCTTGACATACCAAGGATACCAAGGAATGGAGGTGTCTAACTTAAGTTGTGCCAGAGAATACCTAGTGGCAGTTACTGGTACAACTGAGTCTACATCCCCACTGAAATAGGCAATTTAATTGAACGATTTAAGAATGAATTCCACAAATTTTGTTAATTTAGTTTAAATATATATATAAACCATTCGAAAATGAAATATTCCTACCTAAAAACCCAAATTCGCAATCCGACTGCAATTAGTTCTCGATATATTGGAAGAATCGAGTCATCCGTGTCATTCCAATTGCGATTTAGAGTTTCACTGTTGGCATAACATAATAATTGAATCACCTAATGATATGCACAAACAACTTTCACGTGTTTTTTTAGCAAAGATTAGGCCGCGAAAAGAGTCAAGACAATGAAGAAGCGAACATAATGATCTTTTGCCAAACTGTTTATGACACGTTTCTTATGCAAAACTAAAAAAGACTGGACGTGATAATAAACAAGATTTTAACTTCTATTAATGTGGAAACTATCATGCACAGTTGCTTTTGCTCGACTGGTTCCTTGTTAACAAAGGCCCCGTTTAAGCCACATTAATATAAGAATGAGAATGAAAAATATAGTCGTTACGGGTCCCACACAAGATATAGATTTTCAAATATGGTGCTTTGATATAATGGATAATAGTCATATTTTTCATTTTAATGAGCAGATGATGGAAACAAACGGGGGCAAAATATCTTTCATTCTTGGGCCAGATATAATACAATACCTGCAAGCAGTCCATTTGTATGGAATTCCGGTTGTGTTTGCATGTAAAGCTTTTTGAACATCTGGCCTATTGTAATATATTTCAGCATATTTCTCTGTACAAGGATCATACCCTGATAACTCTCTAAAAACCTGACAAACGGTGGAAAAAAAAATAGCAATGTTAAAGAAAAATAAGTTAAAATCATGTCTGTGTACTGTATAATTGCACGTGAATAGACGATGGAAATTATAAAATTATGTACTCGGTGAGGTCGATGGGGCAAATTCATTGTCTGACGAGTTGCGCCAGTACTTCCATCGGAATTGTTGCAAGGCGGGGCATAAATGTTGTACTGATCAATATTTCCGAATTCTTGATCCATGGCGTAATAGTATAGTGATTCACACTCGTTCGACTCCTTCTGTCGCTTGAAATCGCAGGTGCTGATGAGTTGATGGTACGTCTTATCGGAGATCATGGCATGGCTCCACCAGTAAGTCACTGTCCCCAAGTTGTCATAATAGTTATCCGTGACTGCATTCCCCACCTGCATTTCGACAATCATAAGGATTCGTGCAGTCAACCTTAAATTTATTGAGAATACTTACGAGGCTACGTAGATAAATTACCATAAATCCCTTGAGATTTATTTTGTGCTTTGCCTTGGCATTATGATTTACTATTTCTCGAGCCAACTGAGGTACATAATGGCCAGCGTAACTCTCTCCGGTCACATAAATATCTCGGTTTTTGTATCGCGGGAATCGCTTCATCCATCGGATAAGAAATTGCAGCGAGTCTTTGGCTGAAATTAATAATAAATTTTCCTCTAGAACAAAATTATTTTCGCCAATAAAAATTTCTAATAAACCAAAACTGTCTAGTGGTGTCCAGTATTGCATACTATACATTGTTTGAGAATAAAACTAACATGCATAAATGCACATAATGAAGGACCGAGATTTATTGGTCATACCAGTAAGGCGATCCCCAGTGTTGAGAAGATCAGAAGAGGTGTTGCTGTAAGAGAAGCCAACCCCAGCCGGAGTTTCGAGGAACAATAAGTTTGCCAATTTGTTCCAAGAAAATTTGTTGAGGTATAAACCTGAGGCTGTCTTGTTGATCCTAAATGGCCCTACTTCTTCCGAAGCACCATATGCCACAGATGAGCATCCAGGACCTGGTTTTAAGGAACAAAATCAAAACAAATAATATAAGACAATAGCAAAAGTGCAGTATTGAACACAATACTTAGAAAGTTAAGTTGAATGTAAGCAATTAAATTCTAAAATTTAATCTAAGTCAAAATCAATAATTAATTTTAACTACATATTTTATTGGGCCTGCAACTTTTTAACTACAAAATTTATCAACTTTCATTAAATTTTACTAAAAACCTGTTATTATTCCCCACAAAATCACGACTAAATGAAAAATGTAACACGACACAACACAGCAAATGAATTTTTATTTACTAAAAGTGACTCAAAATGTTGTGAAAACGTGGTACAAAGAGTTATAATTTATTTTTGTAAATCCAATATTTGATTTCAAGAAAGTTATTTAACAATATTTCAAACTCTAATTAATTACTAATTTGTAATTAACTTTAATCTGAACTTGACAATTAACAATTCTAAATTTAAGCCCACAACAAGCCCAAGAGGAAGTTCAATTCCCCACAAAAAAAAGGTAAAAAAAAGAAAGAAAGAAGGAATATTATATATATAAGATCTAATTAACAACCCAACATTTCATTTCTAAGAATAAGGTTCCATCTTTCATAAATTAGAGATTAAAATTATTTATTATATATTATTAAATTCAATTAATAAACAACCCCCCCGCCCCACCATTATCGAATTTGGATTTTTAGAGACAATCTTCTCTCTCTCCTCTTCTTTTTGGCTGCAGCGGTGGCTTCGACAATAGCTCCGATGATGACTCCGTCAATGACGTTGACGACATTGTCATTGATGGTCCCGGTGATATACAGAAATTTTGAGGTGATTTATTTATTTATTTTGGTGGTTGGTAGTGTTGTACAAATGATTGTAAAGGTGGGATGTTGCTGAAATTGTATGGTGGTTGTCAAATCTTTTATCGGTGACTGTACATTTACTTGTGATATTAATCCAATGATTTGTGACTTATTGGGTTTGTGAGTTGACATTGATCTGTTACCTATGAAATATGACTTGCGACTTGATAACCCTTGTCTATGATCCGTGACAATGTACTGACTTATGCATTTGAATCTATGACTTGTTATCATTGTACAAAGATATGTCTGATCAATTTTAATTGATCTGTAACTCGTTTACATTGATTTGTGACTATATGATATGATATGTGATGTGTGATCTGATATCTATGACATGTGAAAATTAAAATGTGACCGCCACCACCACTCACTCCCTCTCATTGCACAATCACCACCACCATCATCACCAAAACTCTACATCAAAAATCTAATTTACGCTAATACCTAAAACCCTAAATCCTAAATCTACCACAACCTCAAGCACCACCACCACATTACCACCCACACCATCACCATCCACACAACAAATCTGGTCATGAAACAAAAACCCACCACACACAGCAAATCTGGTCGAAAAGAGTAAGGAGAACATGGCGGCACTGCCGATAGATAGATGATGGGGTGAAAAAGAGTGGAGAATCTGATTTTTTTTTTGGATCTTGGTTTAGTGATTGGATTAAGTTTTTTTTTGTGGGGGGGGGGGGGGGGGGGAGAGAGAGAAGATATGTTAATTTTGAAATGTTGTCATCGAACACGGCCCTCCCTGTAATTTGAAAAAAAAAAAAAAAAAAAATCTTTTTGGTTTTTAGAATACATTTAGAGTTTTCAAAGAGCAAATTCTAAAATAAAAATAAAAATAGCATTTTAAAACTTTCCGAACTCCAAAAATTGGACAATCTAACTAGTAGAATTTTATTTTACTTTTTTAGAATATTGTTGAGTAATATTCAATAAAGGTAATATATGCATGCGACAAATCGGTGTCATGGATGAATCTAAAAATACTGTAAATTGGTCAAATCTCATTATTCTTTGTCATTGACTGAAGGTCACTGTTTCAAAATTTTGCACTGGTGTAACTATAAATTTTTTTGCACTGGGATCCCAAAATTTCTGCTAAATTGCACAGTGATCCTCACTCTGTGTGTGTGTCTCTGCAGCTATAATGAATGACCTTTGTCTGGTGCACCACGCATGCTGACAAATTTAATTGTTCAACAACTTCAAGTAAATGAGGCCCGTTTTCAGTTACTTTCCAGCATTAAATTTATGTGACTACTCCTTGCAATATATATGTGTGCATATAGATACAGATATAGAGAGATATAAAATGAGTTTGGAGTAATGGTTCGTCGGTGCTCAGGACATGAGTCAAAGAGATTCGAATATTGCTATTTAGCCCCTGGTCTAAAATGTAATGAACCTCATTGATTTAATCGAATCATTCAATAGAGTCCATCCGTCGCCACATAAACTGATGAGAAAGTGAGTCAAAGAGATTCAAATAATGTTATTTTCAATCGAAAAGTAGTAAAACTCATTAATTCATTGAAATAATGAATTAGTAGGGACCATTATTGCCTAAATTGAGGATGATGGTTCTAGGTAGCGTTATTCTACACTAATGATCCAAGGCATTATTATCCTTGACTTCGTATAGAGAGCAGAAGTTGTCTAAAGGGAAAAAATAAGAAATTTCATTAAATTTCTCATATTTAAGTTCAAGCAAGAGACACAAACACATAGTTTTAATCTACTACATCTTGTTGCATGATGCAGAATACCATATAAATGTTAAGTCATCTCGTCTAAAAGTTCAATGGTTAGAGGAAAAACCGTTTATCTATTAAATTTTTGTACAGGCTGGAATTTCACTTGAATTAGGGATTCTCGACCTACGGTATTGAATCACATCCTCTAAAAGCTTATGCTTCTGGACGATGTCGTCTTAAGCAATTTAGATGAAGCGATTTAAAAGAGGGAAAAAGAGAGAGAGATCTGACCTCCATTGAGCCAAACAACTAGGGGTTTCTCCAAAGGATCTTGAACTGCCTCAGTAAGCCAGTAAAAGAGGGCTCTACCTGCAACTTCATTGACAGTAACATACCCAGAAAATTGCTGAAATGTGACTTTGGGTTGGCCTGGAAGAGCTTCAATTCTGTCACTTTCTTCTTCTTCTTCTGTATAATTGCTACTCACATGTAATGCAAGTAAAAGAATTGCTATTACAGAAACAGAAACCCTTTGTTTTTCCATGATCAATGGCTATTTAGGAAAAGAACTTCTGCAACTAGATACAAAAGAATGCCCTATCTAGTTGTTTGTACTCTGGAAAGTTGAACATAACTGTGTTGTCATCAGTATGAAATAAAGAGAGAGAGCGAGAGAGAGAGAGAGGAGAGGCAAACACATATAAATAATAGATATATGTAGAGATAAGGGGGTCGGGGTGGGGTGAGAGGTGTAATTTATTTACACAGGAAGGCTTGGTGGGGGTGGGCTGGGGGTCTCAACAGGGTTTAATGAGGGCTCAGATATGCCTTGTCGGATTAAGTAACCTCATCCACCCCGACGGTATGATTTTTTGAACGAGTTTTGCTACAACAGGGATCAAGGGCTGAGGTGAGTCCAACTCGTCCCCCATCAAATGCCCTGTCCCCGCCTTTGTTCGTTTAGCATTTTCGTTTTTTGAACTAATTAAAATGTGACATCATGTTTATTTTTTTTTACTTCTTTTCTTATTTTTTCACACATTTAAATAAATAAAAAAATAACACAGGCATGCTTCTTTGTTTAAAATGTGACATCATGTTTATATATGGAAATGATTTCCTAAGCACTGATACTTAGCTTATGTTAAGCACAGGTGATATGACACATCATTTAATTGGTGATTCTGTCATCGATGCGTAGGATATCATCCCCTATATATATATATATACATACACACACACACTCCCAACAAGCATGCTTCTTTGTTTAGGTAGAAATAAATCAAGAAGTATTTCGAGTACTGGCTCTTAAAAATAATAAATAATGAAATAAATGTGCAAGTTGTCATCTACCTAAATAATTTCTTCTTCAATTTTGTGACTACTATTAGATATAAGAATATGACGTTTCTTGATAGAGGGAAAAAGGGACGTCATTCAAATCTTCGTATTAGTGATTTAGAATATGATTTTTTTTTCTCGTCCCGTGTCTAAAATCACGTTTCGACTTAGTATTGTGAAAACACAAATAATCGTGTTAGGGAAGATTATATTTTTAACTCACAAAGTTGTTGAAGATAAAATATTAAAGCCAGAAAAAAAAAACTTCATTTAGACAAAAAATAAATAAATAACAAGGAAGAAGAAGAGAGAGATTCAATATGAAAGCAAACATGTACATCAATGTCATAAGTTTACGTGCACCTTCACTTATTATATGAACAAAATAAAATTCAAATCAAACAAGAGCTTTCTAATCACTCTTAAACGAGACGATACAATGTATACATTCACAAATCACCAATAATGATAGTTTATATGTTGCATTATTTTTTGGTGAAATAGTTGGAGTTGACGTGTTGATGAATATCTATGAACAAAAATGATATGGTGCAAAATTCGTGAAGCAATTCTACTGCATGTTTCTCATTAATTGTTCTTTGTCCTTATGTTTCATGTCCCAGTGTCCCATCTCACTCTTTCATTGTTTGTTGTGTGTCTTTATTGATGGATAAAATTGAATATTAATCGTCTGATTTATCCTCTTCATCGTCATTTTTAGCTAAACTGAATTGGATGGTATTATTAAAAAATAATAATAAATAAATAAATAAAATAAAATTTGGGAAATTATCTATCTATAATTGTGCACCAGACCAGACGTGTCCATAGTTCTAAAACTGGATGTATTTTAATCATTTTGTTAAATGATTCAAACAAGATTTTCATTTTTATTTAATTAGCACAAGATCAAGGAACTAATTCATCAATTTTTCATTAATTAGTACAATATATCCTAATTTTTTTTTGCAAGTAAAATAAATTACCCAACAATTTATTTTTACAAAAGTAATTCATGCTTCATAAATACTTACAAATATAAGCTCCATTATAATTACATTGTACTATCACAATATTAGTCAAGGTATTATAATTCTTCTTTACATTTATCGTTTCTTGTTATTAAGTTAGATTCTATAACATGAGACAATATTAATAAGAAAGAAAAAAAAAATTAAAATTTCATCTATTTTACTATTTAAAATACTTTAGATAATTGCTTTTCATATTCTTTTCAAGCTATTCGGTGTTGCAAAGTTTCCCAACCAAACAATCCATTATGACATGCTTTGTGGGGGAAGATCGTTTTTGTCGCTTTATAGTGATATTTTATAGCACGGTTACTTAATGTACACTAGATTTTTCATAATCCCACGCAATGTACAAGTTAACACAAATCATAAATTTGGCATTTGTAAGGCGATGTACAACCAAAGTTTTTAAATTAAGTCTATTTTCATTATTGTTTATTTCATATTTAGAGTTCATTTGAAAGAATACTCTATTGTTTGTAGAGATTTGCATGATCAAGTAGGGCTAATCCACCTTTCTAAACAAAATATTCTTATTTTTGTTTCTAGTTTGGTGATTAATTAAGTAGATACATCAAGTGCCTAATACTCATGGTACATTAGTGTCTTTACTTAGAATCATGTTTATGTAGAATTATGGTGCGTGTTTGAAGAGGCGAAGGGACAAGAATTTATTTCTTTCGATCTTAGGAAAGAAGTCTTTTGTTCTATACTTGCAAGGAATTAATCATTAAAAGGAGCAGTGAGATATTGATCAATGTTTGCGCCTCACTTATTGTTAGTTGATTAGTGACTAAGGATTAATACTAACTTGGTTTGGACAAAAAAGGTACCTTCAAATTTTGCTTAGTAACCTCAATTGGAAATTTGATTTGCGAAATAAGAACGGAACTTTTAA